TGATGCATTAGCAGGAAGCTGGATCAGAAGCAGAGTAGCCAGGACTCAAACCAGCACTCAATATGGGCAGGCAGCAGCTTAACCTGCTATGCCGCAATGTTCGCTCCAATCATTGTATTTTTCTACCCTTTTCTCTCCCTCTTCTCCTTCTGGTACTCTCATTACACATAGTTGGGTCCTTACTGACGTCCTATATTTCGTTTACGTTCTGTTTATTTATCTTCATTCCTTTCTCCAGTTTTCAGATTGTATAATCTCTATCAGCAAGTTCATTGATTGTCTTCTGCCAGCTGAAATTTACTGTTAAACTCTTTCAACATTTATTCCTTTCAACTCCAATTTTATGTTTCATTCATTTCAACAATTTCTATCTCTTTATTGATATTATCTATTTGATGAAACAGTCATCACACCTTCCTATAATTCATTAAGCATGGTTTAACTCTACACAGACTTACGATAGCCACTTTGAAATCTCTGTGTACTAAGTCCACCACATGTGCTCATTCAAAAGCAGTTTCTATTGCCTGCCATTCCCCCCACACCTTGTAAATAGCATACACTTCCCTGTTTCTTTTCTGTTTTTTTATTTGACTAGTGACTTGACTGAAATAATTCTGCAAAGCCTATTTGCCCTGTGATGTCCCTGCTCAGATTTTACCTCATTTTTATCCTTCTGATGTTCCTGCTCAGATTTTACCTCATTTTTATCTTCTGGCCTGAAAACCTTGGCATCACCCCTAAACTGAAACATATCATTCACTGATCAAAAGTTGTACTTAAACTGCTTTGGTCAGTTAGACTTCTGCTCTTTAACATTCAACATTTAACCTTGGAGGCTGCAATCACAGTTCAGGGGATTTACTTTTTTCATCCCCATATTCAGCATACTAGTTTAAGATTTTCCTTCCATTATCACTGCTGGGAGAACACTGCCTTGGACATTCATACAGTCTTCCAGACGGCCATGGAAGACTATATTATTTTTAAGCCTGACTCAGGAGTTGCCACTGTGTGAGAAAAGATCATTCTTGTAATGTTTGGTCAGAATTCTGTTTAGGCCCTGAGGTTCCACCCTTATGTTGGTTGATGCAGTGTGAGAAGCTTGGGGGATGTCTTTGACTCTTTTTCAGGTCTTTTTCTGATTGCCCCTAAATGGGTGCCACCCAGCCTGTGCACGCAACCTTCCCAACCTTCAGAAACATCTTTGATATCAGCCAGCCTCTTCTTAGTGGTTGCTTTCTCTGAATCTCTTTAGTGAACTTCTGGCTGCTCTGCTGTTTTGCTTGCATGAGAGCTACCAGCCTCCTTGTACTTAGTGCACACCAAGATCTTCATTGTTGTGTACAATACCCATGGGTATGGAACTCTCTGCTCTGTTCAAAACAGTTCTCTCAGGTAGAGAGGCAGAGGTCTTTGCACCTGCGACCCACCTTCTGCCTCAGGACAGAAACACTGTCCTATCAGAGCTGGAGGTGGAGATGGACTTTTTCTAGAGTGACATCTCTGTTCTACAAGTGGGCGCTAGAGGAGGTGGCAGCCTCTGGACTTCTCACATGCACCTTCTGCCATGGAACTTCTACTCTATGAGCAGCTGGGGGTGGGAGGGAGGTGATTGGGGCCCCAACACCCTCAGCCTAGAGCGCCAAAGCAGAACTTGCACTCTACAGGTGGTAGCTTGTGGGAGGAAAAGAGACCCAATGCTCTCTGCTGAGCCTACCTGGAATAGAGCTTCTGCATGCAACACAAGGCTGCAGAGAGATGAGAAACATCAGCATCCTGCCACTCCCAGGATGAAGCCATAGCCCCAAACTGGGGTTTGGAGAAAGGGGTCTTCTTGGCCACATATGTCCCAAGTAGAGCGTCTATAAAATGGAGCTAGCGGTGAGCAATGGAGTAGACCATGGCTCAAATGTCACAGTCTCTGTTCTCACATGTATTTGTTTCTTAAATAAATAATTTGTTTCTTAAATAAATTTGTTTCTTCATTTGCTGTATGCTCTTGGGACAATTTACAGAGACTTTCAATTATTATCATTACTTTTTCTATTTTCATCAGTTAAATTCTTGTTTTGCTGGAGAGAGTGTCTCCAGCAAATGCTATCATTTCTGGCAGTCTCCTCTCCCTCTGCTTTATCTTAAATATGCACTTGCATTCTCTACTTGTCTTAAAATGCATTTGTTCTTGTACTAAAGAAATATTAGAAGGAACATTCTTAAAATGTTGTATTCTTATTCATCCTTGTATTGATAAATACAAGGGCACAGTATGATGCCTTTGCCCATGTAAGTGACTAAGTGGGAATATCTGTCATGAATTCTAGCAGAATTAGTTGGGAGTTGTGACTGGTAGAGACTAGGAAAAAGGAAACTTTTGACTCACTTTCATTTACAAGAATATTTTGCTTTTGCTTAATAGATGGCAGTCAAACCAAAGCAACAGAAATGTCAATGCATTATATAAAAAGCTAACCTGAGAGACTCTTGTGCACTCCTTGCCCCCAAGGAGTTTACATGGAAGATAAATTGGGATAATATACCCCAAAGAGATGGCTAGAAAATGCCTACCTATTTTGGACTCACTTTAAATATTTGGTAGCAAGGAATGAAGTAGTGTCCTTGGCTGCCCTGGTCCTCTCCATCTTTGCTACTCACCCTCATGGACATCTGAGACATGGAAGGCCTCCATCCCACCTCCCTCCTGCTACTTCTTCATTTTGTCAATTCAGTGTTTCCAGATTAAAATATTGATGAAAATGGTTCACAATTCATGCTCTAAAACATCATTATTTGGGATTTCTTTCCGTTAAAAGAATATTACATACAAGGACAAAATTACCAAACTGGACCACAGAGCCAGTTTAGTACAGAATCTAACTTTAGTACGATTCACACAATTCTAACATAAGCATCAGCTGTACCGATGTTTTCATAGGGAATACATTAGAACTCCAACTTCTAATACTGCATTTCTCTGGTTTCAGGCAAGACACACAAAGAAAAGACATCCCCTTCCTTTCCTTACCCTCCCACCTGCCAGGTGGCCACATCTCTGAGCAAGGATGGCTGAGAGCTTGCGTGGCTCCAGAGAGGCGAAGGCTGAGAAATGAAGGGGAGAGAGAGAGAGGGAAGGAGGGAGGGAGGGAGGGAGGGAGGGAGGGAGGGAGGGAGGGAGGGAGGGGTCAATGAACAAGACACAGCAGGGAGGCAGGAGGAAAAGGAAAAGTTTTAGAGTGTGGCATATAGCCACACAGGGAGATGAACCTGGGCTGGGACCATGAGCCCTTCAAATGATCTAGAGGGAATTAGGGGGCAGAAGAAGAAGAAGAGTAAAAGAATAATAACTAAAGTACAAGCAAATGCTTCTCAAGCTGTAAGAGCTTCACATGTCAGTCCACGTTGTGGGGTGGGCACTGGTACTAGAAAACTGAGGCACAGCAGGGTTAATAACTTGCCCCAGTCGGCAGTGAGCGATAACGACCCCTGCTCTTCACTGCTCTGTCCTCTGGCCTCCGCAGAGTTTTCCCCACTGCTGTTCCCAAGTCACAGTTCCTTAGTGTGGCCAATCTTGTAGATGAGATTGCTCCATAGCTACTGTAATCTCCTGTGTTCAGAGGCTAGAAAGCTAAAAACAGTACTTCCCAGATTCTCTTGGAGCTGGGCTCTGGTCCCTAATTGGGTTTTGCAGATTAGAAGCATTGAAACAAGATTAGAAAGTGGGAAATGAGGAGGAGGCTGCTCTCCAGCTGCCCGGTGAGCATCCCCGCAGCTGTGCCCTGAAGCCCTGTCTCTGGCTTCCTGGGCACCCAGAGATGTTGCAGAGGCAGCAGCACTGCGGTCTTCCTGTCCTTGCGCTGTGCGGCGGCAGTCTAGGCTCAACACTCAGCCATTCTGTTGGAGGCCTCCTTGGAAGTCCAGCCTAGAGCCTGCTACTCCAGCCCTTAATGACTCAGGTTAGCTCCTCATTGCCTCCGAGAAGTCTCTTGTTTATAACTAGATGCTTATTTGCTGCCCTGAAATAATTTTCTCCTTCCTCTCCCTACAATATTGGCTGCAGTGGGAAGAACAATAGCAACTAGGGAGGAAGAGGCAAGGGAGGCTGGTGCCACCGCTCACTAGGCTAATCCTCCGCCTTGCGGCGCCTGCACACCGGGTTCTAGTCCCAGTCGGGGCGCCGGATTCTGTCCCAGTTGCCCCTCTTCCAGGCCAGCTCTCTGCTGTGGCCCGGGAGTGCAGTGGAGGATGGCCCAAGTGCTTAGGCCCTGCACCCCATGGGAGACCAGGAGAAGCACCTGAGTCCTGGCTTCAGATCAGCGTGGTGCACCAGCCGCAGCACGCCGGCCGCGGCGGCCATTGGAGGGTGAACCAACGGCAAAGGAAGACCTTTCTCTCTGTCTCTCTCTCTCACTGTCCACTCTGCCTGTCAAAAAAAAAAAAAAAAAAAGGCAAGGGAAGAGAACTAGAGAACTTGGACGAATCCACTGATTCGCTCATTCACACAATACAGACTGCACACCTATCATGTGCTAAGCACAGAGCCAGACACCACCTCTCTCTGCCCCCAACTGCTCTGCAACTCGATGGGACGCTAGGCTGCAAAACAGACAGGGAAGGAGAAGTTTGTGATTTCAAGTGCCTATGGCTTTGCATATGCTGCCCCCTCCCCTAGAACGCCCTGTCTCCCTCTCTTGTCTCCCTGGCAGGTGCCTCAGTGCTACTCAGCCACCAGCTCCTCTGCAGAGCCAGGACTCTACCCCAGGTAGCTGACTCCAGAGCCCCTGCACTCAACCACTTGGGAGGAAGAGAAGGGGTAGGGTTGGAAAGAGAAGATAAAGGAAGTGATAGGGTTTGGTAGGAGGGAGCCATATATCACATACATGGGCTAATTTATTAAATTGCAGGCCTCACCGCTCAGCCTGAAGTGCAGCAGGCTCTGCCTTTCCTCGGGAGAGTTTATCTTAGAAAAGTGATGATCGGTGTGCTACGGTTTGCTCACTTACCTGGGCAAATAGGGAAGGAGTAGAAACCAGAGCGGCAGGCGTCACACCGAGGGCCCTCTACCCCAGGGCGGCACAGGCACCTTCCATGGGCATCACAGATTTCGGGGAGAACACCTTCCAAGTCACAGTCACACCCTGCAAAGGACACGGGACAATCACAGGGGGTCTCCACAGCTTATGAACTATCTGCAGCTTACAAACATTCTTAATCCAGAAGACTACATCTTAAAGAGAAATAAAACAAATATTCAGGGGCGGGCGTCTGGCGCAGCAGCTTAGGTCAATGCTTAGGATGTTCACAAGCCCTACTTGAGAGCCTGGTTCGAATCCTAGCTATACCACTTCTGATCCAGCTTCCTGCCCATGCCAAGTCCTGAGAGGCTCAAGTGCTTGGGTCTGCGCCATCCACATTGGAGGTTCAGATGGAGTTCCTGGCTCCCCCTTCAGCCTGGCACAGCCCCAGTTGCTATAAGAATTTGTGTAATAAACCAGCAGATGGAAAACCTGTGTGTATGTGTGTGTGTGTCTGCCTTTCAAATAAAATACAAATAGGGTCTCACACTGTGGGGTAGCAGGTAAAGCCGCTGCCTACAGTGCCGACATCCCATATGGGCACGGGTTCAAGTCCCAGATGTCCAACTTTCTATCCAGCTCCCTGCTAAAGCACCTGGGAAAGCAATGGAAGGATGGTTCAAGTCCTTTGGCCCCTGCACCCACATGGGAGACCCAGAAGAAGCTCCTGGCTCCTGGCTTCGAATTGGCTCAGCTCTGGCCGTTGTGGTAATTTGGGGAGTGAACCAGTAGATGGAAGATCTCTCTCACTCTCTGCCTCTACATCTCTCTATGTAACTCTTTCAAATAAATAAAATAAATCTTTAAAAAATAAAATGTAGGGCCGGTGCTGTGGTGCAGCAGGTTAAAGCCCGGGCCTGAAGCACTGACATCCCATATGGGTGCCAGTTCTAGTCCCAGCTTCTCCTCTTCTGATCCAGCTCTCTGCTATAGCCTGGGAAAGCAGTAGAAGATGGCCCAAGTCCTTGAGCCCCTGCACCCACGTGGGAGACCTGGAGGAAGCTCCTGGCTCCTGGCTCCTGGCTTCAGATCAGGCAGTTCCAGCCATTGTAGCCATCTGTGGAGTGAACTAGCAGATGGAAGACCTCTCTCTGTCTCTATCTCTCTCCCTGTAACTCTTTCAAATAAATAAAATAAATCTTTAAAAATAATAAAAATAAAAACAAAATGCAAATAAATGCATTTCAAAAATACTCAAGAAAAGTCAGATACCATTAACAACATCTAGGGGTGGGGATTACCTTGCCAGTGACACTCTTTCAACATCTACTCCCTACCAACACTCTCTCCCCTCCCCTCCAAATCTGACCTCCTACAGTAAAATTTCAGTGTAGTAATTTCCATCTAGTGATGACCCTGTATTAAACCTTTCTCCCTTCCACCTTCCACTTTGGAGAGAAAAGGAGCCTCACAGATTCAGCCTTACTGCGTGCCAGACAGCTGCGAGGGCCTCCCTGGGACCACGTCACCGAGTCCTCCTGGCTCTGGGGCTTCCCAGCGGCCAGGTTGCTTGTGGGGTCTCATCCCGCTCTGCCCCTTCGGGACCGCGGCTCAGGCCCCTGTCCTGATTCTGGGCACGACTGGCTCAAATGTCAGCTCCTTAGAAGGTTCCCCCTGACCGGTCAGAACAAAGGGGCTGCCTGCCCCCCTCCTCATTCCCTAGATCGGCTGCGTCTGAAGTCACGCGTTAGCCTGTGACTGGACTGGTGCTCCACGATGACAATGGAATGAGGTGGACACGCTGCCCTGGGACTTCTGAGCCCACATCACCGGGAGTTTTGCAGTTTCTACTCTTGTTCTCTGGGGACCCTGAGGCCTCCCACAGCCTGGCCTCCTCGGAACTGAACAATCACGTGGAGGAGACAGCCGTGGTCCAGCAGGCCCTCAGGCAGCCCACACAGTGGTGGGAAACAGCCCTGTGGTTTGCAGCCGTTGAGTTCTGGGGTGATTTATTACCCGGGAATAGAAGGAAGAAACACCCAGCAGACTGCATGCTTAGGGAGAGCTCGCCACAGGCCCCCAGTGCCTCCACACTGCATTTCTCTGTAAATGACCACGTATTCTCAAAAATACAGCTCTCTCGCTTGACTTCATTATGAGTGGATAAATACACATCTTGTAGTTGAGGAAATGAAAGGACAAATAAGGATCTTGGTTAAAAAAAAAAAAAATACCCAGAAAGTCTAGCTAACTGGCCCAGGGCTGCACAGTCAGGGTCTGAATCTAAGTGTGCTTCATTCTGGAGCAATGTCCTCCTATTAAACGAAGGACATAGGCTGATAACAAGCTTACGTACAACTTTCAGGGTTTGTCCTGTGTTAGTAAAATAGTCAAACAAATCTCATATCTTTTAGAAAATTTATTTATTTAAAAGGTGGAGAGTAGGGGGGTAGAGAGAGAGAGAGAGAGAGTCTTCTACCTTCTGGGTCACTCCCCCAGTGGCTGTAACAGCCAGGGCTGGTCCAAGCTGAAGCCAGGAGCCAGGAACTCCATCTGGGTCTCTTAAGCAACTGGCAGGGGTCCATATACTTAGACCATCATCCAATACCTTCCTAGGTGCATTAGCAGGGAGCTGGATCAGAAGTGGAGCAGCCAGGACTGGAACCAGTGTTCTGACATGGGATGCCATAGTTGCAGGCAGCAACTTCTCCTGCTGCATCACAATACCAGCTCCAGAGATCTCATATTTAAAATATCCACATTTCTATCAGTTACTCACTGGTTCATAAATCTGCAACATGCTCCCCAAAGGAAGTTCCTGAAGGACTGAAAGATTTGACTGGGTGTTCCCTGCTTATTAAGGAGGGGAAGCTTCATGCGTTTGGATTTTCTATAAGGGTTAAAATAATGATGTGACAAGTTAACTAAATCCCTCCTCTTCCGCTTTGCCTTGATCCCTTAATTTTTCAGATAAAAGGTTAATAATGAGATCATGAAATTATTTTTCTAATACAATAATTAAGAAAAAAGAGTAGGGGTAAATCAGCCCAATTTACAGTCTTTGCGTGATCTCTAACTTCTTCGTACTGAACAAGAATAGCCACCCACTTAAATAGAACATGCCAACCCAAATACACTACTTTGGCCTACTGATTATTTTGAGCTGAAGGCACTTGACAAACAGCAGGTATAAGAAGGGCTCTTTGACTTTCTATCTAAATACTGGCCATAGCATTTCCTAAGGGAAGAGGGTGCTCTCTGTAGCTGAAGAACATTTTTATCACCGGAGACTGGAGTCCACCAAAATTTATCTACCAAAAAGACCTACTAAAATAACACTTATCTGCCAGTACTGAGGTAATCCCAGGTCTGTCAGCTATAGCCTGAGGACCACACCTGTCCCTGTTTCAGTAAATAAGGTTTTCTTGGAACACAGCCAACCTCATTTATTTACTTAGTGCCTACAGTTGCTTTCACATGACAACAGCAAACCTGAATGTTTGCCACAGACTCCACAAAGCCTATTAAGCCATAAATATTTATGATCTGAACATTTACAGCAAAGCTTGCCATCCACTAGATGGGAATTGCTACCCAAAAGGGCAATAGATATCAACAAGAGACATACATCAGAATCACCTGTGAAACTTGTTCAACCCTAGAAATCTCGATTAAGATCTGGGGTGATTGACAGAAATTTGTATTTCTGTAAAGGCAAAAGCATTCTCAGACATGCCCTTGTTTAAAAACCGCAGTAAAAGAGGATGTGAAAACTTCAATGGCCCTTAAAGAATTAAAATTCTCAAGGATGAGAAGGTACCCAGTAGGGTCCAGTGCTCTAGATCTCCTGACAGCTGGCATAGCTGTGCTTCTAATACTCACTGCCAGTTAGGCCACACACTGGGTGGTTTTTACATGCATCAGATCAAATTAAGTGGTTATTTGTGCATTCAAGTTCCCTCCAATAAACCTAACTGCACTCATTGAAATGTCTCTTCCTTGAGGCTGAGTTTCAAGTCTTCCCTAATATTTTGTTAACAGGCATCTGAACTTCCTTTGAAGTTCAATTAACTGTGTCTTTCTGAAGTCCCCACCAGTCTACTGGGGGAGAAGAAATGGAGTAACAAAGGGATGACTCTACACAGAAAATAGGAGATCCAGAACATTCTGAAATGTGAGCTGTAATCAGCTCAAACGTTAAGTTCCATTCTAGTCAATTAACAAACATTTAAGAAAATACCTGCCAACACCCACCATGGGCAAGGTCCCACCATAGATACCGTGAGGACCACAGAGACCCGTAGCTGTTGTCCTCAAGTGCCCATGGGTCTGACAAAGAAGGCACCAGACAATGGCCCACATCAACAGCACGCTGCATTTTGGTTTGCTAGCAGGAGTCAGAAGTGCTGGGCGGGCAAGGGAGGAAATGAGGATGGGAAGGTAAAGTAGGTGCCAGTGTGACTGACCCTTTCTGCTGCCCTACAATCCCAAAATCATTCACCCCTTCTCTCCTGTGTGACTCCCAAACCTGTCCCATCCTCAACTCCAAGGCCTCCGTCCCATCCTCCTCTCCTACCCCTGATCTTGTTTCTTTTTTAACAGAGGAAGCAAGAAACAACCAGAAGAGCGCCTCCTCCCAACAGCTCTCACATCACACCTGCCTGTTCCTGTCTCAGCAAAGGGCCACGTCTCCCTTCTGCGTCGGCTCTCCCTTCACCCACACCATCATCATGAGCTTCTTTATCATCACCTCCATCCGCAGCACCTGGGACTCAGCTGCCATCCTCTCGTGGCCATGGACTGCCACAGGGGCTTCCCGCCAGGTCTCCCTGATTCCCCTCCTGTGCCCTGCAGAGATCCCTCAAACTCTGCCTCTCCTCTGTGTGATCCCCTCCCCGGCACCCCCCGCATTCTGAGTACAAAGCAGGTCTTTGTGGTGGCTGACAAGGGCCCATCATCTGACCCCTGCTGCTGCCCTTTCTTACCGATCTCCCCTTCCCTCTTTCTATTCACACACATCTGGGCTCTTGTCCACCAGACACCCTTCACCCAGGGCTCTCCTACCCCAGGAACTGTGCACTGGCCCTTCCCTGTGCCTGCCTCAGGAAGGCCTTCCCTGAGGCTCTAAAGTCTCTCTCTCTCCCTCTCTCCCTGTAACTCTGTCTTTAAAGAAATAAAGGTAAATCTTAAAAAAAAAAAAAAAAGTGAAGTGGCCCTGATGTAGAACACAACCCTGCATATCACAACCTCACACAGACACTGCCCTTGCTTTGTGGTCCATAAATTATATATGTTACTCAGTCCCTGCATTTTCTATTCTGTTCACTTAGCCCCCAACAGCCAGAATGATGCCTTGCACATAACAGGGGTGCCTTGCACCCTTGGGAGAAATGATTTGGCAGGCGTGGCACCCACAGCCCCTGGGCAGCCCCCTCTCCAACCCGAAGACTGCTTAGTGCACATTGCTGCCACTCTGGGCCGCAGAAGCTCCTCAGCCTTCCTGCAGGCCAAGTTGCAGGCACCAGTAGTTAAGGCCGCAGGACCAGTGCTTGGCTAACAGCACCCAGCTGTTGTTACTCCTCCAGCTGAGTTAACCCTGAGCAGGTCCTACCGGCTGCTGGAGTTGCTGAGAGGAATGTGGCCCCAGGTGCGAGGCAGGACCTGGCTGGTTCATGCATCTTCCTCTTGGCTCCCTTCTCCCCCCTACTCACTCCCTTCCCAGTGTTTCCCAGGATCTTCTCCCAAATAAACTATTCACACTCAACTCCTTCCTCGGGGTCTGTTTTTGGAGACTCCAAATAAGGCAGTAGACAGCTGGCTGCCACAGAAGGTTTTTGAGCAAGCTAGTGATCTATAACCCAAGCTCAGTTTAGTTTCCTTAAGCAGGGAGTGCCATTGCAAAAGACAAGCTGGAGTAGAGGATGACAGGTGGTGAGCAGGTCCTTCAGAAGCCATCCCACCCTGCTCAGGAAGAAGGACTTGAACTTGGACTTGGCAATGTGCACGGGAAGTAGGAAAAGAATATGGAGCATATTTACATTGAAGTGAAACCAAAAAGGAGGTAACTTGCCTTTTATATCCCCAGCTACTGGATCTTCTGGACTTGAAATAGAAGTAGGGGAACTCAGAATTCCTATAAAATGTATTAAAAATACAGAGAATGATTTAGGAGTTAATGAAGTAAAATATTAAGTTGCATTAAGTAGGAAGATGCCCTCTTTCACCTAGTAAAAAGCATGAAAAGCAAGACTTCTATATTTGAAATTGAAACAAGACTGGTCAGATGTTCTGACTTTTTTATTTTTTTTAAACTTTTATTTAGTAAATATAAATTTCCAAAGTACAGCTTATGGATTACAATGGCTTTTTACCCTCCATAACTTCCCTCCCACCCGCACCCCTCCCATCTTCCGCTCCCTCTCCCATTCCATTCACATCAAGATTCATTTTCAATTATCTTTATATACAGAAGATCAATTTAGTATATATTAAGTAAAGATTTCATCAGTTTGCACCCGCACAGAACATAAAGTGTAAAATACTGTTTCAGTACTAGTTATAGCATTAATTCACATTGGACAACACATTAAGGACAGAGATCCCACATGAGGAGTAAATACACAGTGACTCCTGTCGAGAGAACTTCCACTTTGACTATGAGCTTGTCTAAATAAGATCGAAGTCGACGAACTCAAAAGGCTTCCATAGCCTTGGAAGCTCATGACAAGAGCCTAGGCAGATTACTGATGCTATAAACAAGAGTGTCAAATTGTTAAGTCAACAACTGATTTGTTTATTAATGAGCAGAATGGATATTCTGTGCTCATAATTGCTAAGTCTCAGACTAAGCAGGGAAGAGCTTCACTTCTTTAACATCGTTTTTGTTTTAAAAAATACTTCCAAGTTTTTCCCTGAAATTTGTTTATGCCATAAACTGCTTCCTCAGATCTCCTTCTCTCTTTTTTTCCCCATTAAAAAGGCAAGTGCAACTTCTGCTCAGCCCCTATCCCACACATTCGAAATTCAGTCTTGAGGTGATGTCACCATATTTGGGGTTAAAATATTGGTTCCTTTAAATATATATAATATGATCATATAATTTAGCAAACCAGAGCAATCTTGACAATGAAAGTGGGTGCTATTTTAATAACTACCCTGGGATAGCAGGAGTAAAATGGAATATAAGGTCACCCCAAGTCCCCACAACTTAATATGCTTTTCCTGTTCTAGATCTGCAGGAGGCACATTAACTCATGCAGTAGTGGAGTGGGGTCTTCCTGAGACTGTTGTTGTTGTTGTCCTAACTCCAATGTGCAGTTTCTACACTGTTGCAGAACAAGCACAACCAGTGCTCTTGCCACAGTTTGAATAGCTGATTTCATATTCTCCGGGTTCACCTTCTATAGTGTGTCTAACAGGTCCATAGTTTTTCCTCTTGAAGATGCTGAGATGTTTTCCTAGGTGATCGCAGAGGGGTAAAGTGGGGGGTTTTGATGACCTGGCCTCCTGCACAGTGGGAAAGAGGAAACACATCCCCTGGCCCCTGGAGAGCATCTAGAAGCCGTGGCATTTCTGAAGTTTGTGAAGGCACACCCATGGCTTGCTGTGAGGTTGCAGTTGCCAATGTCTCACCTTCTGAACCACTGAGTCTATGGTATGATGTCTAGAGTGCAACGTAACACGTGGAAGATCAACAGGACTATCAGATGTACTTACATAACATCTCCACTCCAAGCCTGGAAACACTCTCACACAAACACATGAACCTGCCTGTTCCAGTTCTGCCTCACCCCTGCCTACCATGCGCCGAGGTGTTCACGCACAAAGGCAGCTGTGGACCAGAGAGGGTGGCTGGTTTTGCAGTGGGTACTTACTCGAGCAAAGTGGAAAATGATAGTATCCATCTGCACACTTCTCACAGTGGTCTCCGTGGAAATTCGGCTTGCAGTGACAACGGCCTGAGCCCTGTTCACAGCCATCTGCACGCTCAGGGTCACAGCTGCAAGCTAAAAGAAATCCCGGTTTTCAAAGGCTAGTAGTCACCATGCATCTCAGGCCATGTTCCGTGCTGGCTTATGGGTCTGTAGTTACTCTTGAAAGGGCACAGCCTGTCTTCCATCACACATGATTGATGGAGCTCCTTGACTGACCTCATGGGCTCGCAGAGACAAGCTTTAATGAGCATTCACATTGAGAATGCTTATCACACTGAGTATCACCCAGCTCACTGAGAAAGAGGCCAAGCTTGCATAGGCTACAATCAGAGGGACTGGAGGTTGGAGGGTGTGTGACAGGTCCTGGAAGGTAAATCATGAACAGCCTCCACTGGCATTGGACCTCTGTGGACCTCCACCAAGTGGTCCTCATTACCCAGTTGTGATATGAATGCAGGACAGGTGTCTAGACGTGGATATATAGCCTACGGACAGCATAGCAAGACTATACCCATCAATCCAAATATTGGATTTGAGTAAGATGGCTTACAGTTTGGGGGGCCAAACATTACCCAGCTTGCAATTCAGGGGAACATGGTTAGGGGAAAAGGGGTTTGGAAACTCCCCACCTGGCAGCTTCCCTTGATCTGGCAGGTTATAGGCTTGGTCAGGAAAAAGAATGTCCCAGCTCATCTGAATACAGCATCCTTGAGAGCTGGGGGAGCTGGCACTGCCTGGTGTTCAGGATTTCTGCGGTCTGTGGATTCTTTATGCTAAACCTCTGATATCTGTGGGCCACTTCAATTATGAAGGAACAAAAACAAGGAAAGGGATGAAAAAGTGAGGCTCCTGTGGCTACGATCACCTTTGGCTGCTTTCCCTTGCCCATGCCTATTCTTTGCGTGTACAAGACAAGGAGGGGGCACACCTTGCAGAATGATTTGGAAGAGGAGGGAAAGTGAAAATACACATTTTTTAAAAAGGCTTATTTATTTACTTGAAAGAGTTACAGAGAAAAAGGGACACAGAAATAGACCTTCCACCCACTGGTTCACTCCTCAGATGGCCGCATTGGCCAGGGCTATGCCAGGCTGAAGACAGGAGCTTCATCTGGGTCTCCCACATGGGTGCATGGGCCCAAGCACTTAGGACATTTCCACTGTTTTCCCCAGGCCATTAGAAGAGAGCTGGATGGGAAGTAGAGCAGCCGCTTCACAAACAGGAGCCCACATGGGATGCTGAAGTTGTGTCACCTTTACCCACTACTCCACGATGCTGGCCGTGAAAATATACATTTTAACAAACAAGAATACTCTAGAGAGAAGCAAATCAGTTTACATATTCTTTGCACTTTATGTTTTCAAATGTTAGTGATATAATGAATGTGTTTGAGGGCGAGGGCTAGGCTTAGAGTGGTGAATTTAAGGAGCACAATTGTCTTCAACTGTGAAAAGCAGGCAACATTTAAAAAAACATTGAGTAGGCTACAGGTTGTATAAGGAGAGTTTAAGAATTAAAAGATAAGCTGATTTTGGTGCAAAAAATTTTGAAATCTTGGAGTAAGAGTTGGCATAGTGATTAAGGTGTCATTTGGGACACTTGCATCCCATATCAGAGTGTCTGGGTTCAAGTCCTGGCTCCATTTCCCATTCCAGCTTCCTGCTAACATACACCCTGAAGGGCAGCAGGTGATGGCTCAAATAGCTGGGTCCCTGCCACCCACATGGGAGACCTGGATGGAGCTCCTGGCTCCTGGCTTCATTCTGGCCCAGCCCTGGCTGCTGCGGTCATTTGGGGAGTGAGTCAGGTGATGGGAGAGCTGTGTCTCTCTGCCTTTCAAATAAATAAATCATTTTAAGCACATTAATTAACAATCATTAAAGAATTTTTTTGGAAATCCATGCATAGATATTTCACAATATGCATTTTCCATGAACTCTTTGAGGACCTTGCATCCATGTGAAGGACATCTGTAATCTGACCTAAGACTGATTGTTTCATAGCAAAAGACAAGTGGTATTTTTCTGTCTAATAATTATGTTATGGGATGGCATGCCACACAGCAATGAACTATACTATACTACCCATTTGTGGTTTTGTTGTACAGGCCAAAATATTTAACTACTCAGAACCTTTGGTTTTCTCTTATCCAAAAATGAGAATATTAACCACAATGTCCCAAGTTTGTTATGATACTTGAATAAGATCTCTGAAGGTATGTGGGCATACCTTGCATATGGAGAACACTCAAAAGTGACAGCTATTTTAAACACTCTATCATCAAGTTCTCATGAACGCAGCACTACATTGTCTGGATACTAACTCTGACAAAGTTGAAATCACTGCATATCGCAGAAACATGTGAAAACAACAGGGAAAGCAGAAACTAACATTTATGGCAAGCCTACAGTGTGACAGGCCCAATGTTAAGCTATGGCCTAGGTGCTTTTAATGGCATTTCACCTAATCTTATGAAATAGGTTTGCACTGTATTTCCAGATGAGAAATCTAAGGCTCAGAGATATTATGTAACTGTCTGAGATCACACAGCAAGAATGGAACCAATAAGGGAATGAAGGAGATTAATAACCAGGCAGAATGACGCCTGACAACCTCCCAGGGGCAGTATAAAAAAGTTGAAATAGAACTTACGGATGCAGCCATGGGGGGCATCAGTTGGAACCCCGAAAGGGCGGTAATAACCCTTTGCACACTTTTCACAGTTGACACCAGCTGTGTTGTGCTGGAAAGAAACAAAAGAAGCTTAGAAGGAAAGATCCTGGAGAAGCAGCCAGAGTTCCTGCTCTGTGCTATTCATCCAAAGAAATAGTTCTTTCCCACACAATTGTCATTTCAAAGTCACTGAAAAATAAGCATCGTTGTTAACCTTGAGTCCAAGATTTGCTACAGGGCAGTTGCTTAACTTTAGCTCAGGAAGTGCTTCCCCAGTGGCAAAAGAAATGAGGAAAAAGTTCCATGAAGTGCACAGCTCAGGCTTTCTTCTCTATACCAAGGACTCTGCTTTAATGAAGCCTTGGCATTTGGGTGAGAGGAGGAAAAAAAAAAAAAAAAAGCTCGAGGCTCTTCCCCATGCTGGAGAACTGATGAGTGGAACCAAAGGCCAGGTGTGCAGTTGTATCTTCTCCAATTTTGGGAGGAAGCAACACATACAGAGTCTCGTCTCCTGTCATTCTGATTTTATCTGTGCTTCAGTCTTTCAACCATTACCCAACCAATTCTATTATGGGAATGGAAAATGAAGGCCTGGGTCTCATACACAGAGCTTATTTGAAAGCACAATATGAGGCAGCTTTTTCTGTTCAGGGTTAATCCTTGTAATTACTACAAAATCAAATTATCCAACATGCAGCATTAGTTCCAAGAATTATGCACCATGGACCTAGCTCAATTCTCTCTCTCTCTCTCTCTCTCTCTCTCTCTCTCTGCCTCCCTCCTTCCCTCTCACTTGGAAATAATTAGGGGGTCAGAGTTCTTTTATCAATGAAAGGAAAGGCAGTAGGAAGTTAACAACAACAAACACAATGTAATTTGACTCTCACAAAAGTCTGCATAGAAATGCAAAAGGGAGCACAAAGACCCATTCTTTACCCTCTTCTTGTTTTAGTGGATTTTATTCACTACAGATTTTGATTTATTACCACTCCTCATCCTGTGGGCTGAAATCTGAATTCACTTTAACACTGAGGTCAAAAACCACACTGGCCACTTAACATGTCGATGCACAGACGTCCATGGCAAATAAGAAACAGCCGGAGCCCACCCTCCTGTCCCATCAAAGGCCAAGTAACCTTCCCTTCCAGGGCTTGACACTGTGACTTGTCACAGACAAAGGACAGCAGGTTAACTTGGGATGCCAAATCTTTTCCTTCAAGGAGGTGAAAAGGGGAAAGCATCCTCTGAAGTGGGCAGGCCAGGCTTTCCCCTGCACCACATGAAGCCCCTGCCACAGAGGAGTTAAATTTTTAAGGGAAAAGGAATAGCATAAAGGATAGAGGTGGAGGTGGGGATTACTCTGCAGATGGAAAAAGGCCTGTGGTTTGCATTTACATCTCAGGAGTTCTGTAGGACCTGCAGAGCCTGAGGACAAGACACTCCACTGTGTCCAGGGATGGCTCGGTCCTGGTTGGACCAAGACTAGGTCAAGACCAAGGACAGTGGGCCTTCATGGTTTCTATATTAGAGTCGCTGGTGATGGGTTAGGTGCTTGAAGTTGGATTTATGTGATGTTTAGCCTCAATGGGACAACCTCAATTGTCCTAGCTGAAGCATGGAGTCGGTAGGATGGAATCTGTGCAGTGACCCACTTTGGGACACCCACATACCATATTGTAGTGCCTAGTCCTATCTCCTCTTCCAATCCAGCTTCCTGCTAGTGTGCACCCTGAGAGGTAGCAGATGATGGCTCAAGGACTTGTGTTCCTGCCGCCCACACCGGAGAGCTGAATGGAGTGTCTGGCTCCTGGTTCCGGCCTGGCCCACCACTAGCTGTTGTGGGCATTCAGGGAGTGATGCAGCAGATGGAAGATCTCTCTATATATCTATATCTATATTTATCTGGATATAGATATCTGTTGCTCTGCCTTCCAAATAAATAAAAATCGTATTGGAACTCTGATTGTGACTATACTAAATTTATATTGCATTTATCATAGGCTTTGAAGATATGGTATATTTTAGGACGTTATACCTGGATATACATGCTGCTTCTCCATGTAGGTCTTTTTAAATAAACTTCAGTAAGGTTTTATAGGTTTGATCACAGCTCCACAAATAACTGCTTCCATCTATTGCCTCTTAGAGCACCTCTAACTCACTATGCTCTTCCTCGTGTATATGTCTGCTTTTTATCTCTTGGGAATCATTTGAAATTCCTGGTCGGTGAGTGACAGTCTTTCCGATTTTTCACACTATAATGGAGTCTTGAAGGAATGAGTATTTGCTGTTCAAATATCTTTTCTGTCACTTTGTGGGTTTTGCTGCAGGAAGGAGCCTGGCCATATGTACCCCATCTGCTGCTTCGTCTCCTCTAGCATTGTTTGGTGTATGTGACAAAGAACACTTTGGAAATACTGAGACCAACACATCAAGGACACAAACAATCAGGGAGCAAGCGTCAGGCTTAGATCAGGAGTCACATCTCTATGGAACAGACTAAAGACTTTGCTTTTATCAATGGAGATCAAGTGTCTTCAAGGATTATCTCAAAACAACATCCGTAATCATTTTTTTTTTTTTTTTGACAGGCAGAGTGGAGAGTGAGAGAGAGAGACAGAGAGAAAGGTTTTCCTTTTGCCATTGGTTCACCCTCCAATGCCCGCCATGGCCGGCGTACTGCGCTGATCCGATAGCAGAAGCCAGGTACTTATCCTGGTCTCTCATGGGGTGCAGGGCCCAAGCACTTGGGCCATCCTCCACTGCACTCCCTGGCCACAGCAGAGAGCTGGCCTGGAAGAGGGGCAACCGGGACAGAATCTGGTGCCCCAACTGGGACTAGAACCCGGTGTGCCGGCGCAGCAAGGTGGAGGATTAGCCTAGTGAGCTGCGGCGCCAGCCCCCCACCGTAATCTTCAATATCACTTCAAAACACCAAGGTTTCACCAAAGGGAAGGGAACAAAGGAGCAATCCAAAAATGTTGTACTCCTGGCTGCCTTCTTTTATTGCTCTTTTCCCCCAACATTCTGTTATGAAAATTTTCCAATATTATAGTGAAAACCTATATAATGCCCCTCCCAGATCTGGGAGTTTATTATCAACATTTTACTTCACTTGCCTTATCACATAATTATCTATCTATTCCTCTGTCCACCCACTAATCCATCTTAGTTTTAAAAATGCATTCCAGGCCTGCACCGCGGCTCAATAGGCTAATCCTCCGCCTAGCAGCGCCAGCACCCCGAGTTCTAGTCCCGGTCGGGGCGCCGGATTCTATCCCGGTTGCCCTTCTTCCAGGCCAGCTCTCTGCTGTGGCCCGGGAAGGCAGTGGAGGATGGCCCAAGTGCTTGGGCCCTGCACCCCATGGGAGACCAGGAGGAAGCACCTGGCTCCTGCCTTCGGATCAGCACAGTGCGCCGCCGCAGCGCGCCAGCCGCAGCACGCCAGCCGTGGCTGCCATTGGAGGGTGAACCAACAGCAAAAGGAAGACCTTTCTCTCTCTCTCTCTCACTGTGCACTCTGCCTGTAAAAAAAAAAAAAAAAAAAAAAAAAAAAAAAAAATGCATCCCAGAATAAATTACAGATATCAATCACTTTCCCCAATGTGAATTTCTTTAACTGGGGTTTAATATTTGTTTATCATTTTTTAAAGGAAAAATGTCTTTTACAAAAAATTTTATTTATTTATTTATTTGAAAGGCTGAGTGATGAAGAGAGAGGGCGAGACAGAGAGAAAGAGATCCCCCACCTACTGGTTCACTCCCCAAATGGCTGAAATAGTCTGGTCTAGGACAGGCTGAAGCCAGGAACCAGAAATTCCTCCTAGGCTTCCTACATGTGTGGCAAGGGCCCAAGGACTCAGGCCATCTTCCACTGCCTTCCCAGGCACAAAGCAGGGAGCTGTGTATAGTCTGAGTAGGAATTAAGATTTATTTTTTCCCCATAAATATCCATTTATTCCAGATTCACTTGTTGAAGAGACTGTCTTTCCCCCTACTGGATTGATTTGGTACTTGCTTTAAAAATCAAATGCCCAGTATGTGTAGGTCTGTTGATGTACTCCTTATTTACTATATTGACCTATTTGTCTAAGACCTATGTCAGTCCCACATTTTCTTTTTTTTTAATTAATTAATTTATTTATTTATTTCAAAGGCAGAGTTACAGAGAAGCAGAAGCAGAGAGAAAGGAGAGAAAGAAAAAGAGAAAGCAAGAAAGCGAAAGCGAAAGAGAGAGAGAGAAAGAACGAGAGCGACAGAGAGAATCTTCTTTTTGCTGTTTCACTCCCCAAAAGACCACAACAGATGGAACTGTGCCAATTTGAAGCCAGAAGCCAGGAGCTTCTTCTGGGTCTCCAATGTGAGTGCAGGGGCCCAAGCACACGGGCCATCTTCTATTGCTTTCTCAGGCCATAACAGCATGCTAGATTGGAAGAAGAGCAGCCAGGTATCAAAATGGCATCCATATGGGATGCCAGCCTACACTGTAGGTGGTGGCTTTACCAGCTATGCCACAGCGCCGGCCCCAGTCCCACATTTTCATCATTATAGCTTCATAGTTAGCCTTGAAGTAAGTTAACTTAACATTTCCAATTTTATTCTGCTTTTTCATTATGGTTTTGAATATTCAAGCTTATTTCATATCCATATAAATTTTAGAATCCTAGAGACCAGTGTTGTGGCACAGTAGGTTAAGCCGCTGCCCATAATACCAGCATCCCATATGAGCGCCAATTTGAGGTTCATCTGCTCTACTTCCCATCCAGCTCCCTACTAATGTGTCTGGGAAAGCACTGAAAGATGGCCCAAGTTCCTTGCCTCTGCACCCATGTAGCAGACTCAGACAGAGTTCCAGGCTTCTGGCTTTGGCCTGAGCCTCCACCATTGTGGCCATTTGGAGAGTGAACCAGTAGATGGAAAATCTCTCTCTCTCTCTCCTCTCTCTTTTCCTCTCCCTCTTTTTCTCTTTTTGTAACTCTGCCTTTCAAGTAAATAAATAAACTTTAAAAACTTTTAGAATCCAAATGTCAATTTCCACCTTAAAAATGCATTAAATCTTCAAGTTAATTT